TTTTTTACATTTTTGCTTTCAGGAAGTTTAGAACATCGTAACATTGGTAGTCATTGATAATCATGTATATTGTTCCAAATATTTGTGCTTATTTATTGTGATAAAAAATTCTACTCATTAGGAAAAAAAAAAAATTTTCAGTATTTATAATTTGTGACAATGCTTGTTTCTGATTATAAAATAAACCCAGTCTTTCCCAAAGATACAATGGAACTTCCCCAAAGCTTGAAGAACTATATCATAAAATAAAATCTACTTAACCTTTTCTCTTCATAAGTTAATTTTATCTCAGGTATTTTGCTATAAATCCACTAAGTACATGTACTTTTTAAAAATTCTCTCTCAGACTGCAAGTTTTATTGTATGTTTTTGCTCATAACTGTATTCATACTATTCAAGAACAGTTCCTAGCATACAGGAGATGATTAATAAATTTCTGCTTCAAGAATAAAGAACAAATTGATCATGAATGATTAAAAATAGGAAAAGTAAACAATATGAACCAAAATAAACCTTTTTTCTTTATAAGCTAATTAATTTACTACTAGAAAAGGAAACCTATAGATGTTTCCAAATAATATAATAGAAAATAAAAGGTGGAAATAATTTTATCTATAGCACTATTCACTGGTCCTCCTTCCATTAACTTTGATCTTCAGAAGTTAAACCAAGAGTAAAATTCCTTTAACTAGAAAATATCCACAATATCACAAAAAAAGCACATACAGAGTAACTATGATACAAAAGAAAGCATTAACAGTCCAAGTGTTAAAGGCTCAGTCCCCAGCATGATGTTTCAAGAAACCTATAAAATGCAGGGCCTAATAGAGTTCATTAAAGTTATTGGGGGAATCCCTTTGAAGGGAATTATAGGCTCTGATCAGACTCAGCCCTCTTCTTACTTTCTTTTGCTAGCTGGCAAGAACAGTTGGTAAACAGTTTGGCACCACCATACACTCTCACTATAATGTGCTGCCTGCCTCAACACAAGCCCAAAGCAATGAAGTCAATCAGTCACAGGCTGGAACCTTCAAAACTATGAACCAAAATAAACCTTTTTTCTTTATAAGCTAGTTATCTCAAGTATTTTGTCATGGTGACCAAAAGCTGACTGCTACACATAAGATAAATACGCTGAAATGTCTTCTGAAATAATTGCTTTTGGAAGAAAAGATAAAAACCTTACTCAGAAAATAAATATGAAGTGTTTTGCTGCAATATATTCAACACGGTGATAAAGTCTGAAAATGCTAAAGTATTACTCAAGTAATCTGTAAAACCACAGATGTAGAAACTAATAACATACTTTGACTCAAACACCTTTAATACTGTCATCAACTTTCCAAATTCCCAAAACAATGAACTATTCTTTCTTTATTTATTTATTTTAATCATAGATGGACACAATACCTTTATTTATTTGTTTCTATTTTTATGTGGTGCCAGGGATAATAAAAGTTCGGAAGTGAAACCTCCCCTAGCTACACACACATGATAAGCCACTGCACTGATGGTCTCAAATAATAGTTTCCATGTATCCATCCCCTTTGCCTTGTATTTTGATAATTCCCTCTCACTCTGATTTTGGGCTTGAAGCATGACTTTCTTGGCAATATGATGTTCACAACTGTAATGTATGTAAGACATAATTAAGTTTTATATGCAGATGATTGTACACAGAAATTTCCCATATATAAATGTCTAGGAAACATTCAAAGCATAAAAAGTCTTCCATAAGTCAGATACAATGGCTCATGTCTATAATCCCAGCAACTCGGGAGGCTGAGAAAAGATTGCAAATTTGAGGCCAGTCTAACTTAGCAAGGCCTTAAGTAACTTACAAAGACCCTGTCTCAAAATTAAAAATTTTTAAGAGCTAGGGATGTCACTCAGTAGTAAAGAACCTTGGGGTTCAATCCCCTGTACCATAAATAAATAAATAAACAAACAAACAAACAAATAAATGTTTGTATGTATGCCAGTTATCCATCATCCACGGTGCTTTCCTGCTTAAGCTAGTGACATGTTCCAAGGGTGACAACAATCAAACATGTACTCCAACAGATTAGAACTCTCCTATGTGGGCAGAAAATTCAAAATTGCTGCCAAAGACAATATACTTTCTGATTTTTAAATTCAGAAAAACTCATCCTTAGGCATGAATCCATTCATAAACAAGATGTATGCTAGTGTTATTTTAATCCTAAATATATGAATATGGTTCTTTCCAAATTATTGAAGGTAACAGTAGATGTTTTGAAATGTGAAATATCCAGGTTTTATAAGTAGTACAATAATTTAAAACCCCATATTAGCCCATTCATAATTTGTGGGCCTTACTTGGAGCCTGATTCAAACAAAGTGTTAAGGGGAAAAAAGAAATTTATGAAATAAATTATATTCTCTATGCATGTGACAATTAAGATTTAAGTGCTTAAGATAAACTGATAATAAAACACTTGCACATAAAGTCCATGAAGTCTGGGTTATGAAGTTGCACCAACCATCCTGCACTTCATAATATTCATCCTCACCTTCTACACAACTCTTAAGTGTTTAAAAACACAGATATTGCCCTTTTTCTTTGTGTATTGTGCTTACTCCAATTCTATATTTCTCCCTGTGAACTTAAATCCTAACCACAATTAAAAACCAGCAAATGTTTTGCCTCTTCTATCTTTCCAATCCTTTTCTTCACACCGATAGATTCAGTCTCTTTTCCATATTACTTCTGAAACTTATCATTATTTATCTAATATCATATTGCAATTATTTGTTACATATCTGTCTGTCTCACCAACTGTGAACCTTTTGTTTGCTAAGCCTGAGTGATCCAACTATAACTGCATCCACAGTGCCTGGGACAGTAACTATCATAGTGCTTTAAGTGGTCTGTTAACTTGCATACCTCTGTGTATGATTTTACATTCACTCATGAATCTATTCTTATTCTTTCCCTTTTAGGGGAGGGGGGGTTGATGAGTTTGAAACCCATCTTTTTATATATACTAAATGTTGATATTAAACAATGTTACTTCAGATGTGACAGGGTGTACCTTGAGAAATTATACTAACTGAAACAAGTCAGTGACAGGACAAATATTATATAATTCCATTTACATAAGGTTTCTAAAATAGTCCAACTGCCAACCACCATGGCACATGCCTGCAATCCCAGCTATTCTAGAGGCTAAGGCAAGAGGAGCTCAAGTTTGAGGACAGTCTGAATATACTAGCAAGATCCTATCTCAAAATAGAAAAAATTAAAAAGGGGTAGGGATGTAGCTCAGTGGTGGAGAGTCCCTGGGTTCAGTTTCCAACAAAATCAAAATAGTCAAACAATAAAAGCAGAAAGTAGAATGGAGGGCACCAGGGACTAGGGAAGAAATGGGGAATTGTTATTCAATGGGTATAAGGTTTCAGTTACGATAAGTTCTGGAGATCTGCTATACAACACTGCGTCTGCCTGTAGTTAACATTGATGTATTGTATACTTAAAATTTATTAAGAGGTACATCTCATGTAAGTGTTCTTACTCCTTCAATCTTAGTATTTTGAGACCAGTCTCCACTATACCTTAACTATAGACATGTTAGCATGCTTTTACTTTCTTCTCCAATGGATTGTTTCCTTTCAGGTCTATAATTGTAACCTTATCTATCTATTGTTGTTATATTTTTAAACCTAAGATCAGAATAATATTATTTATTTATTTATGACTGCATTCAGATTTTCAAAATCTTGCATATAATGCCAACACTCTAATAAATAAACTTCAAATCTGTATTTCAAGGCTAATTTCAAACTTTATACAAATAGTTCAATTGGATATGAATCGATATATTAGTCTAAGCTTACTATCATTAAAAACCTTCTACCCTTTTATACAATTCTATATTTTTTTATATTGTACCCACATCATTCTGGAAATCTGGTTTACTCAATATAATTTGTCACTGGCACAATTGGAAACTTTAAAATTTGCTTTCTTCTCTGAAACATGTATATTATACATCATTGTCAATTTATACTTTCTTCTTCACTACTTTAGCACCAAAAACATGTGCATAACAAAAAGACAATCTTAAATATTAACTAATTATTAGGAAGAAGGTAGAGTGCAAAATGCTTTTATACATTTTTCTAAGGGTAAAGAGAAGATTCAAACTATGAAATCCTAACATTTAACTTCTTTTAAGTCTACTAAGAATTTCAAAGATATGCAACCAGAATAATACAACTGAAGTACTCTTTCCTTTCTAGAAAATAAGACTTTCCTTTGAAATAAAAATGGTTATTATTCATTAACTGGGCTGACCATCTCACCCTATCAAGATTATAAAATATACCACTTTTCTTCTTTATTTTATTGGTTTTTAAAGTACTAGATCATGACTTTTACTAATAGCAAAACACAAAACCAAAAATAAATAGGCAAACAGAATGGAATTACTGGAAGACTAATAAAAACAAGAAGGAAAAGTTCCCCTCCGAATCTTTACTCTGATCTCCCATGACATTAGGCTGCCCCTCAGAACTCATTCCCTTTTTTTATTAATCACCTGCTAAACATCATCACAAATACAATTAAAGTTAAAAATTTTTTAAAAAAAAAGGGAAGGAGAGGACCTTACAAAACAGCCTAACAAGCTTAACACAGTATCACAAAGCCAATTCTCTTCCTTTTGTTCCCCCCCACACACCGTGGACTAAAGACTAACAGTAATAGACCAATAGTAATTTCAATACTAGATGTTCTCTGAAAACACCAGTAACATTCAACACTGCTGAATTGTGAAACATATTTCATCTCAGGTTTAAGGGAAAGTATTACTGCAGTAAACAAAAATTTCAAAGACGTTGCTGAGTATGTCCTAAAATATCTAAATATATAATACAAAAATAACACTTTAACAGTAAAATTTACCATTTTAAACAACTTCTTAAATCTTAATGAAATGACTGCCAACAAAAAAGTTGAAAATTGTAAAAACACTTACTTCATTTCCATGTTTTTGCAGGAATTCAATTTCCTGTTGTGTAAATGTTGTCATGGAGATAGATTTCACCCTGTGCGGTGGATTTAGCCCTCGCCTAAAAAATAAAATATTTCACAAAATTATATTTTTAAAATGAGATGTCATATAATAATTCATTTTTAATTAGCATATTTAAACTCAGAAAGTGTTCTCATTCCATAAACTGAAAGTATTTAAAAATTATTTTAAAACTAATAATATTCACAACAGATGTCAAACTAAGTTTAATTAGACTGATACTAAATAATATATTTGAAGATAAATCCAATTAACTACCCAAGAACCCATAGCACCAATATAACACATGCAGTATTGCAGTATCTAGAAAAATCAAATATTGCTTTAGAGTATTTTCAGTGGAGGGAAAAGACTATGAGAAGAGCACTATGAAAAGAATCTAAATTTTAATCATTTAAATATTTAATGTTTCCTAACAAAAAGACAATGATGTGTTAAGATTGGAGCTACTACTTTTAAATAAGTTTGAGGCTAATTTAGAAAACTGTATGAAAGCTAAAGAAGGAAACTTGAGGTAATTAATCAATATGTATAAAGTCCCATCTCTCCATCAATTCAAATAAGTATTTATAATAAAGAACACATTCAATCACCTCAGAGGGTAGTAAATGTTCAAGAGGGAACAGCAGGGTCATAGAGAAGGGCTTAATAACAATTGGATATGTTTCATCAACATTTAAAGTCTTTCAACCTAGAAGCCTTTCCATATGGATGGCCTTACAAAGACTTTATCTTGATGATCTTTCATCAGGAACATGAAAAATTGAATAGAAGTGGCTAATCCACCCACAAGAACTAGGATTAAATAAATCCATGCATAAAATTACTTTGGGGTCATGTCCTTTCATAAAGGCTTATTTGGTACCTAGGTTCTACAGCAGATTAATAATATTTTCATGGAATTCGTCATAATCAACTTGCAATCATCCATGCCAATTAAATATGAGGTTTAACAATATAAGTGTACCAAAGACCTTTCAAAACTCTTCTAAAAATACTTTTGAATAATTAAATATGGTGTAAAATATTCTAGAAATGCACAGTTTTAAGTCAAAACACTAAGGTTCAGAATTAACAGAAGCTCCTCAATTTTCATATCCTTCTTTTTTCTTCCCAATCCCCACCACCATTTGTCAGTGATGAATAATATACCTTTCAGGTCAAGATCTAAATTAATGTTACACTTTCTCTATTTCACATTTTGAGTGGAGAAAGGTTAACGTGGGTTTCTGTATTATTTCTGCTTTCCTTGTTTTAAATTTTAACTAATACACTGCTTTCCTTCCAGCTCTTGATAGGTCATAAAATAAGACTATATAGGGGAGACACTAAACAGCAGCAATTCTATTCTAGTTAAATGTTCAAATTTAACTGTGAAGAAACAGCTTCAATATGAATAACTTTCAAGTACCTTTACAATTAATTTGCAATCACAAATTAAGGCTCTAGAGATTACTTTTAAATCTTGAGAATACTTATAAAATTTCTAAAAGTAGGAAGTCATTATTATTCATTTAAAACATTACACTGTTTTCCAATCTATCTGCATTGTAAGAATGAGACTAAGTTTACCACTTGGGGGAAGTTTATTAGTACATTTACTATACATGTATGCATATATGCACATATATATACATTTTAATACCTTACCTTGTCCCAAAACAATTGAAGCAGAAATTATCTTACTATTTTTTCTCAAATGTTTCTACTCCTTTCCTCTCACTTTGCAACTCAGGGTCTCCTTGTTCCCTCATATCTTCTCCTTTTTCTAGATAAGTTTTTACCTTTCTATTTCCTTTGTAATAGCTCCTTTTTGAAAACAGAAAAGGTAGAAAAACTTTCCTTGAGGATCAAACACTAGTACTATAAAGGTACTATGTTTCGGACATTTTAGAGTAAAGAATTACACTCCTCTATACCTCTCAAATTGTTCAATAAAGAGAGAGCAATTCACAAAGCTAACTCTTGATATTTTATAGATGTAATCTCATGAATGCAATACAATGTATAGTGTATATACTTATCTCCTAGCACTACCAGGAGGTATTCATATTACCTAAATAAATGAATAAAATAACTTTGGAAACAAATTCAACCAGAATGTACTCATAACCAAACTATGAAAGGACATTCTCCCCTTAATAAGAATACTCCCTTACAGAATTTAAGTATTTGTAATACACTTAAAATTGGCTCAATTTACAAAATTGGCAAAACTATTTTGCAAGACTACATTTATTACATAAATTGATTAATCCCAAGGAGATTTTATGTGTATTAATGTTGCTTTCTCTAATTGTTCTTGTATATTCCATTTATTCAGGCAGATCAACTAAATACCCAATGCAAGAATATACAAGGATTTCTTATTTTAGACTCCAAAAGCTATGTACATGGTTATCAATGCTTATAAAAGAGGGTGGTGAAAAACTGAAGACTGACTTTATTAATCTCTTTAGTAACAGTCAGAATGATGAGTTTGCAGTGAAAAATGAATAACCTCATACACTGATGGTAAGATAAATGCACTAATTTGTGCCAACCACCTCATGTATGCCATTTGGTCCAAAAATACCACTTTGGGGAAGTTATACTGAAAGAGATACCTGAAATGTAAATAATTATGGACAAGCTGTCCAAACATTATTCATAATAGGAAAACATTAGACTTCAATACCAAAAAGGTAGTGATTATGAACACTGACACTTGTTTTAATTTTATGAGATTAAAAATTAATAGTACTTCCAGAACTACATAAAAAAATGTCTTCAAAGGAAACCAACCAAATATTCCAAAATGCTAACATTCCATTGAAGATACAAGACAAAATTAAATGGTTTTTTTCTGTTTTTAATTTTCTATTATCTTAAAAATTTCCACACTGAATATGTACTATTCTATAACTGGAAAAAATGGCAAGAAATATTGGAAAGTCTAATTGACTAGTAATGGCAGTCAGAGAATCTGGACTTTAAGACCTGGCTTTATGAATGTGAATATCCAAATGAGAAATAGAGCATGGTCTTTCTTTGTTGGGCAGCATCCCTGGTCTCCACTCACTAAATATCAGTAGGGTCCTCCTGTTTTCAGACACTGCCAAAATCTATGGAGGGAAAATCCCTGCAATTAAGAACCATGCACACAGACACCCCGCCAAATCAACCTAATAAAATTCCTTTGCATCTCTATCCAGACATAAATTCTACCAACGTTCAATCTTCTCCAAAACATTGTATACTTTGCTCCAAAGCCAACAAAAAATTCAATCTTTCCATAACTTTTATGATCAGAATAACAGAACACAGAAATGAATCTCTCAAAAATAATAACAAAATAAATATGGAAGTTGAAAATATATGTGCAAATACATATAAATTAGAAAACAGTCTTGAGGCTGGGATTGTGGCTCAGCGGTAGAGCGCTCGCCTAGCATGTGTGAGGCCCTGGGTTTGATCCTCAGCACCACATAAAATAAATAAATAAAATAAAGATACTGTGTCCAACTACAACTAAAAAATAAATATTAAAAAAAGAAAACAGTCTAAGGAAAAGTGTTCACCACAACAACCAAGAATGATCCATATGATGTAAAGAAACTGGTTGGCAAAAACAAATTTCTAGGGCAGAAAACTTATTAAATATTTTGTTAAGTATTTTTATTAAGTATTTTAATTGGCACCCTGCATATTTAATCACATTCTACTTTTAGCAGTAGTATGGAAAACTAGATATTTTGAAAATGCTTCTCTGTCTTTTCAAAAATTTTAAAAATAAAATTGCTTTTAAAAATGAAATTTCTAACCCTTTCTGGACTTTTTAGAAAGTAAGGTTAATTTCTAAGGACCAATCCCTTCCCCAAAAAGAAAAACAGACTAATTTAAAACTCAAAATTTTCTGAAATGAAAATTTATAAATGTGAAAAATAAGTCAGCTAAAGAGCAGATTAGACATATTTGAAGTGATAATAAATGAACTGGAAGGCAAAAAGAAAAAAGTAAATACAAAGGTAACACGGATAATGCAAAAATAGACAAAAAAAGAGGATAAAATTAAGAGGTCTAACTTGCATCTTATCAATTCCTTTTCTGAATAGGAGAAAGTAGTGTAAGAATGAGAGAGAGAAACATTTGAAGAAAAATGGCTGAGATTTTTCAGATCTAACAAAAGACACATATCTACAGGCATAGCTTATCAAAATTAGGGTACATAAAATCCATGGAAGCATTCTGGTAAAACTTCAGACACATCTTAAAAGCAATCAAAAAGAAAAGACCGAAGAAATAAAATTTGACAGATTAAATAGACTTCTCAATAAAATATCAGAATATTAACTTCAAGTGGTATAAGGAAGTAACTGTTATAACCCCAGAAAAGCTATTTTTGAAGTATGAGATGAAAATATTGACATCTCAGATTTTAAAAATCTAAGAGTCTACCCCAGAAGATCTTCACTAGAAACATATTTTCATATACCTTAAGAAAGAAAATATACCTAAGAAGTCTTGAGATATAAAAGGGTGAGCAAAGAAACTGACAAGTACACAAGGCAAATCTAAACAAACAATTATCTGATCACAATAACATCCACTTTGTAGGAGGAAAAAGAGAAATTGAACCCTTTTTTAAAAACATTATTAAGGACTCTCATTATATTAAAATAAAACTGAAATGTTTATATTTAATGTGTTTTCCTGAAAGTTGATGCCATTACCCTTTATAGCTAAGCCTAGACTAGCCACCACGAGAACTCAGTGTTTTATAAATGCTTACTGTAATGATATTAGTCATAACTATTTGATGGAAGTGTTGGGCAAGTAAACCACATCATTTTTACAGGGCTAATACTGAGGTACCACCCATTCCAAATCTTAAAATACACACTTTGAGTCTTCAGTTTTTTCCAAAAAAAAAATGTTTGAGTCATTGAATAGCTTCAGTATTGATGTTTTGAAAGTATGTTCACCAGTTAATTTGTTCCAAGTTCCAAAGTAACCTACTGGTGCAGTCTAATATGTTTTTGCAGTATAATTAAGTCA